AACTGTCTGGCCATGCTGCATACTTGGTGTCATCCTTCAGGCCATCCAGCGCCTTGATGACTTCCATATTGCTCCACAAACATGTTGGTTTTCGTCGTTGATGTCCAAGAGCTCCTTGATCCACTGTCAACCTTTTCAATCCCACCGCCTTTTCCAAAACTGACTTCACTTTGGGCCACACAGTGAAAGAGGCATATTCAACTTCGTCTTGCCTGTACGTCATTGGATCCTCTGGGGTCTCCACTAACGGCCTTGACGTCAGGGTTGTAGAGCTTGGCCTCATACATCAAGAGCAATGTTCTCAGCCAAAGCTGGCTGTCAGTGTCTGCCAACTGTTGCTCCATCATCGTGTTGGTATCCAGGCCAAACCTCTGCAAACCATGTCTCGATCTCACAGGCCGCGGTCCTCCATCAGACCGGTAACGTGCAGCTGATACTGTTCTGCACGGTGGGCCAGCAAGTACTGCAACCACTCGACCCGACCTCACAAACTGTAGTAAAAAGTGCCAAACTGCTGAGTCCAAAAGATCTTGTCCTCGAAGTAGATCCACATTCACCACTTCGATGTCGTGTGGCATTCTCTTTGACCACCACGCTTGATCTGGACCTGAAAACAAATTCAGCACAATGCCCTTGGCCTTCTTGAAGCGTCGCCGTTGATGGCGATTCCATGGCAATCGAGCCTCATCACCAGCTTTACTCACCATAGGTTGCAACAAGTCCACAGGTGTTTCAGGAAACAACTTCTTGAGCTTGTCGGCCATGTCCTTGTCTTCCTGCTTCCAACCTGTGACTTCCAAACTTCGCAACATCAACTGCTTGTTCTTCTCAGCAGATTCCAGCTCTCGAATAAGCTTCATCCCCACATCATTGGTCACGTAGGGACAATTGTCACGAACTGTAACTTTCACTTCACCCAGCTTGCCATGTGTGAGAGCGCACCCATCGCGATGCCACCTCATCTTGCATCCATGCTGAGTCAACATTCCCAAAGGCACAATTGGCTGCAGATCATCCTTTGTCAACAACGATCTGCTCATCTTTGACATCCTCAGCTGTGTTTTTCCAGTCGCTGTTTGTACCTCTGTTGGGATCGCCTGCATCCACTCAGTCTCATCATAGGGTCCTCTAAGGATATGCGTGGCCCCTGAGTCCAATAGCACACCCTGATTGCTGTCAGTCACCACCGCCAACACCCTTGGAGTCGTTGACGTTGTTCGCATTGTTTTCAAAAGACTGGCAACTTCACCCATGACTGAGGGCTGAACTTGTTGTTGTACTTGAGCAACTTGAGGCTGCTGTTGTACCTGAGCAACTTGAGGTTGCTGTTGTATCTGAGCAACTTGAGGTTGCTGTTGTATCTGGGAGGTTGCTGTTGTATCTGGGCAACTTGAGGTTGCTGTTGTATCTGGGCAACTTGAGGCTGTGAATCCTTTGAAGACTGATCCACTCCCCCGACCGGCTTGTCCCGGTCCTTGCCTTTGCCCTTGTCGTTCTTGCCATCCTTTGTCTTTCCCTTGCCTTTAGGGCTTCCTTTGGAGCTTTTGTCGCCCGGACTTGTCGTAAGCTTGTCACCAGCGGTGCAGTCTTTGGCAATGTGTTCCAAACTGGAACACTTCCAACATCTCTTCTCCTTGTCGTTGAGATTGTTCCACTCATGGGCATAGGTGCATTTGTCACCCTTGAGGCATCCGTAAGGTTTACCCCAATGCTTGCATGCTCCAGCTCCTGCACCATAAGCATTGCCTTCTGCATTGTTGCCATAGCCTTTCTTACCAGGAGATCCCTTCTTGCCACCACCCTTGTCACCAGCAGCATTGACCACGTTGATCTTGGGGTTGCCAGAAGTCGGACTTGCCTTCGTCATTGTTCCATGATGCAAGTGATCCGCTTCGGCAATCAACATCTGCAGATAGTTCTCCGCTGTGAGCTGTGTAGGCGCCACATCCACCATATGGGTCATGCGGAAGTTGCTGATGCGAAAGCTCGCTTGATGCTCCTTCGCAATCACTGTCCGCATCACTTCAGAAAGTGCGCTCACCTGCAGCAAGGGATCTGGAACCTGTAGTCCAAGTTCACGAGCTCGCAGGAGTTGACGTCGCCATTGGCGTAGCATCTCACCAGCTTCAGCTGCAGATTTGGCTGCTGTGGTTTGAGTCAAGTTGTTGAGGATGGTGCTTTTCTCGTTGAGACCACCAGGTTGGTACAGCTTCAAAATGCGAAACACCAGCTGCACACATGTCATCTCTCGCAAAGAGATTGCTTCTTGTTTGACCGTCTGTGGCACTGCGGCTAACAACATTGACAGCACACGAGACTCCAACCTGACATACTTGTTCTCCACTTGAAGGTCAGGTTGCACAGCCATGCGATCCATTGGACCCGCTGTCAGCCATGTTGCATAGGCATCTTGAGCTCGTTGTACTAGTCCGGTCCACCACACTCTTGCACCTTCTGAGACATCTGAGATCAGCGGCATCAACTCACTTAACCAATCTCCTGCACGAAGGGCAGCCTGAGACTCTGACACGTCCTTCAAAATTGGCAGTGTAATTGGCACATTTCTCAGCACCTCAGAAGCTTCGCCATCAGGACTTTTTGCTTGTGGTTGAGGTTGTTGCCATTGCAGTGGCACTGAACCATATTGCATTGGTGCTGCATACATTGGTACACCAGAAGGTCCAACTCCATGTCCTTGAGGCGGTTGTGGTGGTGGTTGCGGAACATAGCCAAAATCCGCTGGTGGACCACCATGTCTGTGCACCGGTTGCTCCCAGTACTCACCTGTCAACCTTGGTCTTTCGCCATGCATCATCCTGACCTCTCTGTCCAACCATGCAAAACGATCTGCTCCAGGTTGAAGATGATGCTGCTGTTGTGGTTGTTGATCCACTGGAGTCCAAAAATCCTCCAAACCATCAAAACCTGTTCCACCACCCACGTGCTCATCAACTGCAAATGGGTCAAACTGCCATGGTGGAAGTTCTGGAAGATCTGCTACCTCCCGTGGTGGTTGTCCCGGCGGAACTTGAGTTCCTCCAGGTGTTGTTCTTGGTGACAGCGAGTAGTACTGAGGTCGGCGCGGTGGTGTCCTTGGTGGTTCCACGCTTGAACTCTTCAGCATACTTCTTCATCTCTTCCTTTTGTTTCTCCATCTCAAGCTTCTGTCTGTGAAGCTCTTCAACCATTGATTGCTCCAAAGCCCGCTTGAGCTCATCACGCTCATCTCTTCCTTGTTGATTGACATCGTCCACAAAGGTAGTTGTGCTACAACCTTGTACTCCACCTTGTGGTTGCCGACTTGCCTCACGTGGCATCTGTCGTCTCATCTCATACTGTTGCACTCCCATTGGAACTCTTTCCAAGGGTGACCCATCATCTTGCCGATGACCTCGTCTTTGAGATTGATCTCGCAGACCACTTGGTACTGTTCGATGACCTTGAACTTGACGTCGTTCAGGTCCATAACCATGACTGACTCCTCGGTGGCGTCCAGTCTCTTGCACATTTCCTTCAGACCTTGAGGGTCCACGGCTGACTCCTCGATGGTGTCCAGCCTCTTGCATGATGTCAGACCTTTGAACTGGTATCTCACCTCCCAGTCCTCCAGTCTTCCCACCTTGTCTTGCAACCCCATGAGATGGTATCTCACCTCCCATCCCATTGGGCTGCACAACTCTTCCTTGACCATGCCCCTTGCCAGAACGTTGCACTTCTCCAGCAAGTAGCCCTGCTGCGACACCTCGATGGTGCCCAACTTGTTCAACACCTTGAGGGTGTTCATCTTGATCGACACCTTGAGGGTGCCTAACTTGATCGACACCTTGAGGGTGCCTAACTTGATCGACACCTTGAGGGTGCCTAACTTGCTCGACACCTTGAGGGTGCCTAACTTGCTCGACACCTTGAGGGTGTCCAACACCTTGAGGGTGTCCACATTGTTCGACACCTTGAGGGTGTCCAGCACGTTGACCTTGTCCAGCATCTTGAGGATACCGAAGGTCCACACCTTGAGAGTGTGCAAATTGATCGACACCTTGAGGGTGTCCTGCATGTTGACCTTGTCCAACATCTTGAGGATGTCGAAGGTCCACACCTTGAGGGTGTACTTCACGGCGACCTTGTCCAGCATCTTTAGGATACCGAAGGCCTTGACCTTGTCCAGCATCTTGAGGATACCGAAGGTCTTCATCATCATTTGATGGCATAGCCCCTTGAGTCTGCAAGGCCACACCTCGTCTTGTACTCCAACTTGACGGAGCACTCATTCGTCCCATTGCTAGCGGCTCCAACTCTCGCGACGCGTCTGCATCTTCTATCTCCGGAAGGTCCTCCTTGACTGAGACCTCTTCCCTTGGCGTCCACATCGGCTGCTCCATGGCCAACTGACGTGCTTCTCGTAGGTGTTCTTGCTGAACCCCTGCTGACCACCACGGATTCGGCTCGGTGCCTAAGTCCAACAGGTCAGTGCTCACATCCAGTTCTTGCCGTAGAGCCCCTCCATGTTCGCCTCGTAGTAGAGCTCGTCCTCCACCTTGACCATCACTGCCATTGGGTAGAGCTCTTTCATCTCCACGCCGAAGGTCTCTGCCATCATGTCCAGCTCGGTCTCTTCCATGCCCTTCTTGGCCTTCTTGATCCAGCCGTAGAGCACGAGGTCCACTTCTACCAAGTGGCACCGAACACGACCTAGTCCACGACATGGCAGGCGCCCCTCAGCTGAGCGTTGGGCTCATAACCTGTGTTAGGCAGAGCAGCGCGACTTTTGATCCATTAAGAGCCTGCGCAATCACAGGCAGTTGTTGCACTGATAAGAACAGATACTTCACCTGTCCAGCAGTGATAAGAACTAATACTACATCTGTCCAGTTGTACATGCATGCACATGAACCCTTTTGCACTTAGAAAACTGTATTGTGTTGCACGTTCCGGGCTGTAGTTCTGCAAGTCCGTTCTGCCCCGATTTAGGGCACAGTCCAAGATGTCCAAGACCAAGGCACTTTGGATATTGGACCATTGGGTGGCATGATACGCACGGATTTCACCTTGTCGGTTTCACGCCATGCCAAGGGAAATACTGCAAAGTAACATCAACTAACAATGGGTTGCTTCGTGCCCGCAAGGAACCATTCCAGATGCAAAGATTCCAGATGCAAAGGAACCCAACCGATTTCTGGAAACAGTGTTTGATGAGTCCTGATGTTTGGTCTTCGCAACTCTTGGTGGGTTTGTCTTCGGACAAAAATGTTGGGCTGACCAACATGGTGGCAGTGGTATGTTTGCGTGCGCGCAGATTTTGAAACAGTTGCAGATATGACTTCAAGGAAATCAGATGCGCATGTCAAAATATACACGCATGTGTTTACATGCATATACCACAGTGTGAATATAAATGTACCATTTACATGTGTAAATATACCACATATATACCACTGTGTGCCCGCAGTAGGCATCTTGGCCGTCCTCGTTTGGGTCCTGGAAGGGTCGCCATTGACTGTGCTTTCATCATTTTACTTCACCGTTGGGTCTACCCTCTGGTAAACAGTTTGCGAACTTGAAAATGGCCCAGTCGAAATAGTGGATTTACCCATTGTAAATGGTGATTATCCCATCAGTTTTTTGTATGTTTACCAGAGGGTATGAGTATTGGGTCTTCTAGCATCAATCTCTAGAGAGTCGTTGGCATGTCGGCAAGGTAGGTTGGGGACAGGTCGAAAATTCTTGTGAGTTCAATGACTGATCTGTGATCCCCGCCGGCTGACATTTCCCAACCCCCTCGGGACGCAAGGTGGGCTACGCTCGATGCATTTATGGAGGTCTTCTGTATGCTGGCTTAGGCACGAAGACGCAATGCTGGATGAAGGCACTGCGCACAAAAAAGCGCTAAAACAAACATCAACACGAAGAAACTCCGTTCTTCGAAGTGCGCCGGGCGTAATTTCAAAGTCTGGGGCGGTGTGAGGAATACAACATCCCCATACTGATAAATGGTCACAGGCAGCTGCCAAGTACTGCTGCGGCTGAAGAGGAAGTGCAAAGAACGGTGGTCACAGGAGATAGAGACCATTATACCATGCCATACCATACCATACCAACAGACATACCAACATACATTACCTTACCTTACATTACCTTACATTACCTTACCTTACCTTACGTTATTACGTTCTGTTACGTTATGTTACTTTACATATATATATATATTATGTATATATATATATATATCTATATATTCATATGTATCTGTATATATTCATATTATATATATATATACACAGAGATATCCCACATGTACACCATATCACATCTATGTCCCATCGCTTCATGTCGCCAAGCGCCAAGAAACTCATCTCGCTGGGAGCCCTGGGAGATGTTCGGAGTTGGGGGGGACCTAAAAAATAGCCGTTTTCCACATCGTTGTTCGACCTGAAAAATTTTCTGGTGATATGATGTGGAAAAGTAATCACCATTAATCACCAATATATCACCAATTAATCACCAATTAATCACCATTAATCACCAATATATCACCAATTAATCACCAATATATCACCATTAATCACCATTAATCACCAGTATATCACCATTAATCACCAGTATATCACCATTAATCACCCATATATCATTGAAAAAGATGTGGAATCCACGATTTGTAGATCATTTCCTGGGAGATATCAGCCCAATTTGGATGGGATCTGAGGCCTGATTTCAGGGGGATCCACGCGTCATTGTCGGAGCATTAACGCAGGGCCAGCATCAACAACTACATCATGTAGTGACAACAACGGCGGGTCATCCCACCTTCAGGGGCCTTAGGGGTGTGGGTCATTTGTTGCTCCAGTTTGGAGGCACTCATGGAAGGCTCACTCACAAAAGCATCAACTGGCATTCATGAACGTGGACGGGCCTCACGATATAGCTGCGCAACTTTGAGACAGCCTTCATGTTCACGACCTGACAAATGGGGATTGGTCGAAGATTTGGTTCCAGGATGCCACAAGATTCTCATTGCTAGGGTTAAATCATAACCATCAGTTTGAGGCATGGGTCATTTCAGCCAAAATCATGTGGATACACCCCAAAAGAATAGGGACATCAACATCAAGAATGTGATATAAATGGGTTGTTTCATCATGGCCTTGCAATTGCAGGAACACACAGTTGATGTTGCTCCCTTTGCTTCTCCCAATGGTCGAGTCATAGCGAAAAACCATAGCTACCATCCACAGTTAGTGTTGATCATTTTGACTCATATCCCTATGGATCATACATGGATTGGTGGAAAATTCTGGTTTTACATGGTTTTTCCCTGTTTGTTCATTTCATTGTTTGGTTATCATTCGTCCATTTCACCATAATTCAACCACAATTCAACCGTTTATTGCAATGTTATTGACCATCGCCCAAGCACTTATTGATTTTGCCCATTAAATGACCCATAGTTGTTGCTGTTATTCATGTGGTTGTCCAAAATAGAGATTTTATGTGGTATCACCGTCCCGTTAACCACTCACGACTCGGGGTCATGGAAAAATGTCATTTCTAGTGGGTAGACAATGCCATAAACTTACCATCCATGACTGGGAATGGTAAGTTTATACCAGCTATAAAAATGCTGATGACTGGTGGATGGTTTAATTTTAGTGACTAGTTATACCATGTGATACCATTCATGGGGAGTAACTGAGTAAGAATACCCAATTAATATATCATAATATATCTCTATTACCATTTAGTGGGCTTATAAAAGCATTGTTTTACATAAATTTGTCCAATTAAATGGTAATAAAGGACAGTTTTACCCCCATTGTCCAATTTCATAAACCTCGAATTTGATACTTCGGTGCCAGTGGGTTTTTCACGGAGCCTACGGCTCCACCAAGGTGCAGCAAGCATGCGCAGCATCACCAGAGTCAGCGGTACCCTTAGGGAGGGAGCGGTCCAGTGAACGATGGCTTCAGACCTACAGTTAAAAAAAAAAAACAAAAACCACGGGAGAAAAACCCAACTTGACCTACAGTATCTCTGAAAGTATCTCAAAGTGGTGAAACCAAGGATCAATCATTGGATTTGGATGGCCAAAGATATCCTTAAAAATGCTGAATTCTCATGAGGTCGTAATGGGAATCCCTGAAATGTTCCGGGATGGTGTTTCATGAACATACCCTCTGGTTATTTAACATAGCCATGGTATAGATGGCCCATAGAAATAGATGGTTTACCTGGGTTTACCGAACTTAAAAATGGTGGATCTTTCCATGGCGAACTGTTAAATAACCAGAGGGTATCTCAAAACAACAGGAGAATCATGTCAACCAATCCCTAAACCCACTGCGTCTCTGGCTGATTCGCACGGGGGGCAAAGCAAAACGTCCCACGTGCCATATGGAACTCACATGAACTCACTATGCCATTATGCCATTGGTCTCCCAACCTGCGGTTGACACTACTGACGAAGGATTCATGGGCGGTTTGGAAGAACCTTTTGTGATTGGAGTTTCAACTTTAAGCCATTCCGAATCTACCACCACTGACAGCGCAGCAAAACCAGTAGCAAAAAGGCCCTTTTTAGCTTTTTACCCTCTGGTAAACTAACGTAACTATGGAAAATCACCATTTTTAATGGGAAAACTCACTATAAATGGCCATTTTCAATAGCTATGTTAAATTACCAGAGGGTAAGTCTAAACTCCGAAGAAAGAATGGTGCCTGTTGTCTTACCAGCGTTCCTCAAAATCCGGTAGCTTATCCCCAGCCGGGTCGCAGGATCAAAACCTCCCTCACAGCCAGGTGTTCTTGGAAGGGCGTGATGAAGGTCATGAGAAAGATGCGCCAGCTAAACCACAAGGAGAGGAGCATGTAGCTACACCCTCAGTTTCATCCAACACCGAAAACAGAAAGAGTGGGTGATCCCCAGAAAGTTACAGTGAAAACATCCAAGGGCTTCGACATCAAGGTCAACATATATCTGTGTGGGAAATTAAGATTGGTAAGACAGTAAGACAGTGTGCACGGACCTAGGCTTGAATTTGGATCCACTTTAATAAGGTCCAGCTAGATCGAACACGAAGTGACCCACTTGTTCATGGGCTGGTCTGTACCAAGTGGACACCCTTGTTGCTTCCGATCACCTCGACATGACGTCACTCCCGTTTCGTCAAGCAACACAAGAGGGAATAGTGCAGCAGCGTGACGTGCTTCCAAAGCCAACTGCGCGGTAAAGACTCCTGGGATTTCGCTCCGGCTGCATTTCAACACGGCCCTGAAAGTACCACCGCCCATTGCGCATGACCGCTGACCCAGGTTCCAAGACCAAGGTCTTCAAAGCCCTTGCTGCATTCCTGGCTCCTGGCCATGACGCCACATGCTACTGACTCTGGAAACACGGCAAGTCTCGGTTGTTTGAAACTTGAAACCTTTCTGGGGGACATGGTTGCAGTTCCTTTTGTGCTGTCTTTTTTTGGAAACTCTCGGTTTTATCAACTGGCTCCGCAAAATTCAAAGAAATCCCATCCTTGTGGCGGGCGCTCAGTCCCCGGCACACAACGACGGAGCCTGGGCAGCAGGTGGGGGTTGGCAACGCTCCTACATGACACCGGCTTAGGCCGGTCAAAAAAGTGTGCCCCCGCAACCTCAGTGCAGGATTTGTTTCGGGTACTACTAAGAATACAACCTCCGCAATGAGCACATGGTGCCCCAATTCTAGCACCTCCAAATGTGAGCACACGAAATACAGTGTGTTCTTTTGTTTTTTCTGATCCATTTCGGCCACATGTTCTCCGTGTTTGGCCATAAATAAGGACGAAATCCCTGTAGACCCATGAAAAATTGGAACATTTTCGCACCAGGAGTCGTCAGTAGGGGCCGAAGCAAATGTAGCCAGCGCAGTTCCACCCCTGCACCGGCCTCGCAGATAAAGATCATCCAGGAATTTGGCAAGTTGAGAAATTCGAAGAATTCCAGAGGTGTGCCGGAAAATCAGCCATAGATTGGTGGTTTTTTGTCCATTGTACCTCCAGCAATTTAAGACTTTGCCATGGTTTTTGAGCAGATTCTGGTCCATCGGACTTGATCACCGCTGGGGAAATGGACGAAGCTCCGCCATGCGCCTGTGCGACATAGAACCACTCCAGCATCATCCAGGGGAGCATGGCAATGTCCTGCCCATCATCGCATATCGGGAATGGGTCCATGCGGCACGGAGCTATCCGCAAATTTGGTGATATGCAGTACCCTCTGGGAATTGAACATAGCTATTGAAAATGGCCATTTATAGTGGATTTTCCCATTAAAAATGGTGATTTTCCATAGTTATGTTAAATTACCAGAGGGTATCAAACCAATTCAGTTTCGGGAGTAAATGGCTCTGTATCAAACGCATTGCCATGGAATAAGATACCTCATTGATGGCAAAACAATGGCTAAAATTCATGGTTCCCAAGTTTGGAACCTCGACGGCCATATAGGATTATCGGAATGAAAGGGGACGCCAAAATCATGGCTATCTTCATTTCTCCATCAAAACTGCAATTGTGAGAAATGATTGAGGTATACCAACCCAAAAACAGATGGAACAAAATGGAGACCTGTACAGTATGAAGTGAACGAATCATTGAATGATGTCTATATGTATATATATATATATATCCGCCGACCCCGGCCGACAGCAAGGGGGAGCGCGTCAGGGAAGAGAGGTTGTGGACAACAACAAATACAACAACGGGTCTTGGGAAACTTTCCAAAGTAGCAGCAGCAGTAGCAGCAGCAGAGCAGCGGCAGTGGTAGCAGCAGCAGAGCAGCGGCAGCAGCCAGTAGCCAGCAGCCAGTAAGCAGGCAGGAGGCAGCCAGGACTCAGCAGCCAATAGGCAGCAGCCGCCAAGCAGGCAGCAGGCGGCCAGTAGTCAGCAGCCAGTAGGCAGCTGCCGCCAGCAGCTGCAGCAGCTGCATTCTCCGGGGGCTCTTTTGAACAGGCGGCAGCAGCAGCAGCAGCAGGAGGCTCAGGTGTAGCCTTGTTTAGAGCAGTTTCAGACGAGACGTTAGGCAGTTTTTGGTCATTTTTTCTGGCCCATCCGCCCTTCGCTGCCATGGTGTTTCCCTGTCCGGGACTCCGGGACCCACGTTTTTGCAGCAGCCAGCGGCAGAAGCAGCCAGCAGCAGCCAGTAGCCAGCAGCCAGTAAGCAGGCAGCAGTAGCTACTAGTCAGCAGCCAGGACTCAGCAGCCAGTAGGCAGCTGCCGCTAGCACCTGCAGCAGCAGTATTATCCGGGGGCTGTTTTTTGAACAGGCAACAGCAGCAGCAGCAGCAGCAGGAGGCTCAGGTGTAGCCTTGTTTAGAGCAGTTTCAGACGAGACGTTAGGCAGTTTTTGGTCATTTTTTTCTGGCCCATCTGTCCTTCACTGCCATGGTGTTTCCCTGTCCGGGACCTACGTTTTTGCAGCAGCCAGCAGAAGCAGCCAGCAGCCAGCAGCAGCCAGTAGCCAGCAGCCAGTAAGCAGGCAGCGGCAGCCAGTAGTCAGCAGCCAGGACTCAGCAGCCAGTAGGCAGCTGCCGCTGGCAGCTGCAGCAGCATTATTATCCGGGGGCTGTTTTTTGAACGGGCAGCAGCAGCAGCAGCAGCAGCAGGAGGCTCAGGTGTGGCCTTGTTTAAAGGTTTCAGACGAGACGTTAGGCAGTTTTTTGTTATTTGGCGTCGTGCGTCCAGCATCCAGAAACCATTCCTTGCTTTGAGCAGCGGAGCAGCAACAACCGAAGTAGCAGCCGAGCAGCTTACAGCAGGAGCAGGGCAGCAGGAAGGCCATGTGGACACAGTTGTCAAGCTGCCAAGAGCTGGAAATTTGTGTTTTTTAACTAAGGTTTCAGAAGGGACGCTAGGCCTCGTGGATTATCATTGCAGGGCACCATTCCGTCCCTCAGTGCCATGGTGTTTTCCTGTCCGGGAGGTGCGTTTTTTTAAGGCAATTTGTTGGCTAAAAGCACACCAGCAGGAGGAGGGGCTTGTAGCAGGAGCAGCAGCAGCAGCAGCAGCAGGAAGCAGCGCAGCAGGAACAACCGAAGTAGCAGCCGAGCAGCTTACAGCAGGAGCAGGGCAGCAGGAAGGCCATGTGGACACAGTTGTCAAGAGCTGCCAAGAGCTGGAAATTTGTGTTTTTTAACTAGGGTTTCAGAAGAAACGTTAAGCCTCGTGGATTATCATTGCAGGGCACCATTCCGTCCCTCAGTGCCATGGTGTTTTCCTGTCCGGGAGGTGCATTTTTTAAGGCAATTTGTTGGCTAAGAGATGTGGCAAACAGTTGCAGCAGCCGCAGCAGAAGCAGCGCAGCAGCAACAACCAAAGTAGCAGCCGAGCAGCTTACAGCAGGAGCAGGGCAGCAGGAAGGCTATGCGGACAAGTTGCCAAGAGCTGCCAAGAGCTGCCAAGAGCTGGAAATGTGTGTTCTTTAACTAGGGTTTCAGAAGGGACGTTAGGCCTCGTGGATTATCATTGCAGGGCACCATTCCCTCCCTCAGTGCCATGGTGTTTTCCTGTCCGGGAGGTGCATTTTTGTAAGGCAATATGTTAGCTAAAAGCACACCAGCAGGAGGGGCTTGTAGCAGGAGCAGCAGCAGCAGCAGCAGCAGGAAGCAGCGCAGCAGCAAGAGGCAGCGCAGCAGCAACAACCGAAGTAGCAGCCGAGCAGCTTACAGCAGGAGCAGGGCAGCAGGAAGGCCACGTGGACACAGTTGTCAAGAGCTGCCAAGAGCTGGAAATTTTTTAACTAGGGTTTCAGAAGGAACGTTAGCCCTGTGGATTATCATTGCAGGGCACCATTCCGTCCCTCAGTGCCATGGTGTTTTCCTGTCCGGGAGGTGCGTTTTTTTAAGGCAATTTGTTGGCTAAAAGATGTGGCAAGCAGTTGCAGCAGCCGCAGCAGAAGCAGCGCAGCAGCAACAACCAAAGTAGCAGCCGAGCAGCTTACAGCACGCAGCAGCAGGAGCAGGGCAGCAGGAAGGCCATGTGGACAAGTTGCCAAGAGCTGCCAAGAGCTGGAAATTTGTGTTTTTAACTACATTAATCAGAAGGGACGTTAGGCCTCGTGGATTATCATTGCAGGGCACCATTCCGTCCCTCAGTGCCATGGTGTTTTCCTGTCCGGGAGGTGCATTGTTTGAAGGCAATTTGTTGGCTAAAAGATGTGGTAAACAGCTGCGGGCTGCAGAGGTGGCAAACAGGTGCAAAACGCTGCTGCCAAGAGCTGTCAAGAGTTGGACCTTGTGTTCTTTAATGTTTTTTAACTAAGGTTTCAGAATGGACGTTAAGGCCCGTGGATTACCATTGCAAGGCACCATTCGTCCTTCAGTTCCATGGTGTTTTCCCGTCCAGGAGGCTGGTCAGCAGCAGCATCAGCAGCAGCCCAAGCCGGCACACCAAAAGCAGCTGGTGCTTTCCTGTCCGGGAGGTGCGTTTTTTTAAGGCAATTTGTTAGCTAAAAGATGTCGCAAGCAGTTGCAGCAGCCGCAGCAGAAGCAGCGCAGCAGCAACAACCAAAGTAGCAGCCGAGCAGCTTCCAAGAGCTGGAAATTTGTGTTTTTTAACTAGGGTTTCGGAAGGGACGTTAGGCCCCGTGGATTATCATTGCAGGGCATCATTCCGTCCCTCAGTGCCATGGTGTTTTCCTGTCCGGGAGGTTCGTTTTTTTAAGGCAATATGTTAGCTAAAAGCACACCAGCAGGAGGAGGGGCTTGTAGCAGGAGCAGCAGCAGCAGCAGCAGTAGCAGCAGCAGCAGCAGGCAGCGCAGCAGCAACAACCGAAGTAGCAGCCAAGCAGCTTACAGCAGGAGCAGGGCAGCAGGAAGGCCATGTGGACACAGTTGTCAAGAGCTGGAAATTTATGTTTTTTAACTAGGGTTTCAGAAGGGACGTTAGGCCTCGTGGATTATCATTGCAGGGCACCATTCCGTCCCTCAGTGCCATGGTGTTTTCCTGTCCGGGAGGTGCTTTTTTTAAGGCAATTTGTTGGCTAAAAGATGTGGCAAGCAGTTGCAGAGGGTTTCAGAAGGGATGTTAGGCCCCGTGGATTACCATTGCAGGGCACCATTCGTGTGTGTTCCTGTCCAGGAGGCTGGTCAGCAGCATCAGCAGCTGCCGAAGCCAGCACACCAAAAGCAGCGGAGCAGCAACAACCGAAGTAGCAGCCAAGCAGCTTACAGCATGAGCAGGGTAGCAGGAAGGCCATGTGGACACAGTTGTCAAGAGCTGCCAAGAGCTGGAAATTTGTGTTTTTTAACTAGGGTTTCAGAAGGGACGTTAGGGGGTCCATGGTCACTTGCGACCCTAAAAAACGGTCACTTGTGACCCTAAAATCCCCGGTCACTTGCGACCCTAAAAAACGGTCACTTGCGACCCTATTCCTTTAAAAACTCTCACCCCCCCTGCGTTCCACCATGCAATTGTCTCCTTTCAAAACTCTCCACCATGCAATTGTTTGGTTGGGGGGGAGGGATCATTCTACTTACATCATTACTTGACTCAGCCATTTAGGGTTTGGTTGGGGGGGAGGGATCATTCAACTTAGATCATTACTTGACTCAGCCATTTAGGGTTTGGTTGGGGGGGAGGGGTTATTCAACTTAGATCATTACTTGACTCAGCCATTTAGGGTTTGGTTGGGGGGGAGGGATCATTCAACTTAGATCACTACTTGACTCAGCCATTTAGGGTTTGGTTGGGGGGAGGGATCATTCTACTTACATCATTACTTGACTCAGCCACTTAGGTTGGTTGGGGGGGAGGGATCATTCTACTTACATCATTACTTGACTCAGCCATTTAGGGTTTGGTTAGGGGGGAGGGTTCATCGTACTTACATCATTACTTGACTCAGCCATTTAGGGTTTGGTTGGGGGGGAAGGATCATTCAAATTAGAACATTACTTGACTCAGCCATTTAGGGTTTGGTTGGGGGGGAGGGATCATTCTACTTACATCATTACTTGACTCAGCCACTTAGGGTTTGGTTGGGGGGGAGGGATCATTCTACTTACATCATTACTTGACTCAGCCATTTAGGGTTTGGTTGGGGGGGAGGGATCATTCAACTTAGATCATTACTTGACTCAGCCATTTAGGGTTTGGTTTGGGGGGAGGGATCATTCTACTTACATCATTACTTGACTCAGCCATTTAGGGTTTGGTTGGGGGGGAGGGATCATTTAACTTAGATCATTACTTGACTCAGCCATTTAGGGTTTGGTTGGGGGGGAGGGGTTATACATTACTTGACTCAGCCATTTATTCTCCTCTCTTTTGGTTGGTTGGGGGGGAGGGAGCATTTCTACGTACATTTATAATTGACTTTTTAGCCCATTAGGGTTTGGTTTGGGGGGAGGGAAACATGAACTTAGATCATTACTTTGGGGGGGGGGAACTCAGCCATTTAGGGGTTTGGTTTTGGGGGGGGAGGGATCATTCTACTTACATCATTACTTGACTCAGCCATTTAGGGTTTGGCTGGGGGGAGGGATCATTCAACTTAGATCATTACTTGACTCAGCCATTTAGGGTTTGGTTGGGGGGGAGGGATCATTCTACTTACATCATTACTTGACTCAGCCACTTAGTGTTTGGTTGGGGGGAGGGATCATTCTACTTACATCATTACTTGACTCAGCCATTTAGGGTTTGGTTGGGGGGGAGGGGTTATACATTACTTGACTCAGCCATTTAGGGTTTGGTTGGGGGGGGAGGGGTTATACATTACTTGACTCAGCCATTTAGGGTTTGTTTGGGGGGGAGGGATCATTGTACTTAGATCATTACTTGACTCAGCCATTTAGGGTTTGGTTGGGGGGGAGGGATCATTCTACTTACATCATTACTTGACTCAGCCATTTAGGGTTTGGTTGGGGGGGAGGGATCATTCTACTTACATCATTACTTGACTCAGCCATTTAGGGTTTGGTTGGGGGGGAAGGACCATTGAACTTACATCATTACTTGACTCAGCCATTTAGGGTTTGGTTGGGGGGTTGGGATCATTCAACTTAGATCATTACTTGGCTCAGCCATTTAGGGTTTGGTTGGGGGGAGGGATCATTCTACTTACATCATTACTTGACTCAGCCATTTAGGGTTTGGTTGGGGGGAGGGATCATTGAACTTAGATCATCACTTGACTCAGCCATTTAGGGTTTGGTTGGGGGGGAGGGATCATTCTACTTACATCATTACTTGACTCAGCCATTTAGGGTTTGGTTAGGGGGGACGGATCATCGTACTTACATCATTACTTGACTTGTTACGGTGATACGACATGAAGCAGATTGAAGCCTAATACGTAACTATATGTTTCTTGTCTACGTGATGCTGCACCCACCTTCTGCCTTGGCAAAATGCCACTGCGGACGACACAATACCAAATTTGGCACAATTGAGGACTGCAACTTGGCACATGCGATTTGAAAGTTCTTTAGCGCAAGTGCGCGCATGAACTTCACAAACTAATCTTTCTCCCAGGATTTCAGCAATCACTTGAGCACCACAGTGCAACATATTGGAAGGTCACGAGACTTGTACAACCCATGTACAATGTGAATGGATATGCCCTAATGCCCTAATGGACAAATAGATGGACATGCATGGATATAACAGTATACTATCATACTATACCATTGTCAATGGTGGTGAAATTCAGTGCATCACCGACGCATGGATTGCTAAGGTTGGCCGCAACTTTCTGTATAATTGTCTGGCCGCGAGTTTGTCTGTGTATAATTTTCTTCGTGAATATATTTTGCATTATCGAAGGAAGTTTCGAAATCAAACTTCCGACAATATGGGCAGATGAAAAGCAGAGATGGGAAGAGGCAGAGAGAAGAGAAGAGTAGAAGAGAGCAGATCAGAGAAGAGAACGAGTCAGAAGAAAGAAGATGCAGAGGAGCCAAAAGGTAGTGTTTTCCAATGCCTTGTGGCTCCGGAGGGTCGACAAGTAAGCTCGCTACAGCGGCGGGCGCGGAGCCAGCTGCCCAGATGAGAAATACAAAATTGCACGCCGTTGTGGCGTGACGTCCATTTCGAAGTCAACATGCACAAAAACCAACATGTTCGGACCGCCTTTAGCAGTTGAGATGGAGAGATAGAGAGATAAAGAGATAGAAAGAGAGAGAGAGAGAGAGTCAACATGTACAAAGCACACCATGTTCGGACCGTTTTTAGAAGTTGAGGTAAAGAGATACAGCGATAACAAGATAGAAAGGGAGAGCGAGAGAGATAGATAGATAGAGAGATAGAGAGAGATAGAGAGATAGATAGATAGATAGATAGATAGATAGATAGATAAGATAAGATAAAATAAGTTTAGATAAGATAAGATAAGATAACATGAGATAAGATAAGATAAGATGAGATAAGATAAGATAAGATAACAAGATAGATAGAGAGAGATAGATAGATAGAGATAGATAGATAGAAAGATAGATAGATACATAGATAGATAGATAGATAGATAAGATAAGATAAGATGAGATAAGATAAGATAACAAGATAGATAGAGAGAGATAGATAGATAGAGATAGATTGATTGATAGATAGATAGATAGATAGATACATAGATAGATAGATAGATAAGATAAAATAAGTTAAGATAAGATAAGATAAGATAACATGAGATAAGATAAGATAAGATGAGATAAGATAAGATAAGATAACAAGATAGATAGAGAGAGATAGATAGATAGAGATAGAGATAGAGATAGATAGATAGATAGATAGATACATAGATAGATAGATACATAAGATAAGATAAGATGAGATAAGATAAGATAACAAGATAGATAGAGAGAGAGATAGATAGAGATAGATAGATAGATAGATAGATAAATAGATAGATAGATAGATAATTAGATAGGTAGATAGATAGATAGATACATAGATAGATAGATAGATAAATAAAGATAAGATGAGATAAGATAAGATAACAAGATAGATAGAGAGAGAGATAGATAGAGATAGATAGATAGATAGATAGATAAATAGATAGATAGATAGATAATTAGATAGGTAGATAGATAGATAGATACATAGATAGATAGATAGATAAATAAATAAATGACATGTAGCTTCGAAGCCCTTAAACGAAGCTTTTCTGCGAGACTTCCTACAAAAATGAAGCTTCGAAACTCAAACACAAAAACTTTTCTGCGAGACTTCCTTCAAAAATAAAGCTTCGAAGCTCTAAAACGAAGCTTTTCTACGAGACTTCCTTCAAAACTGAAGCTTCCAAACTCAAAAACCTAGCTTCGAAGCCCTTAAACGAAGCTTTTCTGCGAGACTTCCTTCAAAAATGAAGCTTCGAAGCCCTTAAACGAAGCTTTTCTGCGAGACTTCCTCCAAAAATGAATCTTCGAAGCTCTAAAACGAAGCTTTTCTGCAAGACTTCCTTCAAAAATGAAGCTTCGAAGGTCTAAAACGACGCTTTTCTGCGAGACTTCCTTCAAAAATGATGCTTCGAAGCTCTACAACGAAGCTTTTCTGCGAGACTTCCTTCAAAAATGAAGCTGCGAAACTCAAAAACGAAGCTTTTCTGCGAGACTTCCTTCAAAAATGAAGCTACGAAACTCAAAAACGAAGCTTTTCTGCGAGACTTCCTCCCAAAATCATGCTTCGGGCACGAATAGGGTCACAGGCGACCACAAAGGGGCCGCACCATTTTCGTGTGGCAGGTGTGGGACTTCGAGCACACCTGGTCACTTGTGACCCTATCTTTTTTACTTCAAAACGTAGAAACAGTGATTAGGGTCACAAGCGACCAATGTCCCTTTGCCTGCACATCCCTCGCGGCAGCTTCCACCAAGCTCCTGGCCGTCAGCGTTCCAGCATTGCAGCCTGCCCTTTGCCTGCACATAGCCCTCTCTTGTTAGGGCATTCAAGCCTGCCGTTTGCCAGGCTTCAAACGCTTAAAACCCTTAAAACCCTTAAAACCCTCCAACTCCCTCGCGGCAGCTTCCACCTCCAACTGCTGCACTGCTTCCTCGCGGCAGCTGCCACCAAGCCCTCTGGCCGGCAGCCTTTGCTGTTCCAGGGTTGCAGCCTGCCCTTTGCCTGCACATCCCTCGCGGCAGCTTCCACCAAGCCCTCTGGCCGTCAGCCTTTGCTGTTCCAGGGTTGCAGCCTGCCCTTTGCCTGCACATCCCTCGCGGCAGCTTCTACCAAGCTCCTGGCCGTCAGCGTTCCAGCATTGCAGCCTGCCCTTTGCCTGCACATAGCCCTCTCTTGTTAAGGCATTCAAGCCTGCCGTTTGCCAGGCTTCAAACGCTTAAAACCCTTAAAACCCTCCAACTCCCTCGCGGCAGCTTCCACCTCCAACTGCTGCACTGCTTCCTCGCGGCAGCTGCCACCAAGCCCTCTGGCCGGCAGCCTTTGCTGTTCCAGGGTTGCAGCCTGCCCTTTGCCTGCACATCCCTCGCGGCAGCTGCCACCAAGCCCTCTAGCCGTCAGCCTTTGCTGTTCCAGGGTTGCAGCCTGCCCTTTGCCTGCGCATAGCCCTCTCTTGTTAGGGCATTCAAGCCTGCCGTTTGCCAGGCTTCAAACGCTTAAAACCCTTAAAACCCTCCAACTCCCTCGCGGCAGCTTCCACCAAGCCCTCTGGCCGTCAGCCTTTGCTGTTCCAGGTTTGCAGCCTGCCCTTTTCCTGCACATCCCTCGCGGCAGCTTCCACCAAGCTCGCGGCCGTCAGCGTTCCAGCATTGCCGCCTGCCCTTTGCCTGCACATAGCCCTCTCTTGTTAGGGCATTCAAGCCTGCCGTTTGCCAGGCTTCAAACGCTTAAAACCCTTAAAACCCTTAAAACCCTCCAACTCCCTCGCGGCAGCTTCCACCTCCAACTGCTGCACTGCTTCCTCGCGGCAGCTGCCCTTAAAACCCTTAAAACCCTTAAAACCCTTAAAACCCCTAACACAATCTCGGCCCGAAAAATCATCCACGCTTCCGATGCAATCTAGCTGCATGACCGTGGCGACCCATGGAAATATCCAACAGGCGCATCGCAGGCCGGTGGGTTGAGCTAAGCTCCTCGTCCTCCAGCCGCTCAGCACGGGCCACGATATTCACGCGAGCACGCACCATGTTCCGGCCCGCAGAGACCAAGTTGGAAATACTACCACCTAGCAAAGATGATGTCTTGTGATAACACTTTCCTCTCTCAATGCTGACCAATTCTTTTCCTCACACCGCTCCGTGATCTGCCTGCCCATGTTCGTGGCTTGTACTTGACAATGAGGTCTCGTTCACTAGAAACTGTGCTGCAGGACCCATCTTGGCTGCCACCGGAACATACGCATATATATATATATATGTACATATTATGTGTGTATATATATATATGTGGGATCATGTGCTACATCATACTCCCCAGGTTGATTGCCAGTACCCCCCCCTCCAATTAGGGGGGTCGGCGGCACCTGGGCGCTAGCCCATTTTATAATTTCCGAGTGCAACCCCAATATCCCAAGTTTTTCACCAAAACCAAACATATTTCTATATATTTCTGATGATTCTTCTAACCGGAATTTATTGCTGGATCCTATTGGATTATTGTATCCTATCATACTTTGTGGCTCATCCCACTTAGTGCGTGGATTATATCCATGTTCACAAGTGGGATAAGTAGGGTTAATCCACTCAAAAAACTAGGGATATAAGTGGATATAACCTACTTAGGATTCGTGGGATGAGCCACCAGCGGTATCCTATTCTTGGATTCTTCCCACAGGATGGTGGCTGCCAGTTACAAGTTGGTTTATAACCCCCATTGACATCCATTAACTAGTTCGTTATATCTACCATTAACTATAGTTATATCTACTATAGTTATATCTACCATATCTCCATTAACTATAGTTAATTAAGCCACTGACAAGGCAACTGACCCCTATCTTGGGGGCCCCATCCTGCACCCAGTAGATCCATATTCTTTGGTCACCTGGCTCCGACGAGAAGAAAACGTCGTCCTCCTCGAGCCTTTCTTCCAATCCGTTGAGCGCCTTTTCCGCCGCCGACTTCGCGAAGTTCTGCCAGGGAGCGACAAGTTGTAGTTGATTTATGTTGGGTAACGTTGGTTTTTTTGAGGGTTTCCAGTCATGGGGTACCCCAAATGATTGGTTTATTTCATGGGAAAATCATAAATGGAAAAACCATAAATGGATGATAATGCTAGTACTTTGGGTAAGTTGGTGTAAGTTGGGTATTTATGTTGGGTATGTTGATCTATGTTGTTGATAATGGAAAAACCATCCATTAATCTAACTGAGGGTATAACCCATTTACCCATCATCCCAGACATTAACTACATGGAGGTGTCCATAGTCCTGGGGGTACCCCAATAGCTGATGGTTAATTTCATGGAAAAACCATCAATGGATGATGACTGGGGGTAGCCATATTTTTGGGAACTCCCCATGGTTGGTATATCTAAGTCCGCCAGCTTTTTGGGTTGTGGAAGATATATCGAACTTAGTGAATGCAGGTGAGGGGAACCAACAAACAGAACTGGGAGGGGCCACCGTGCTACTCAGCCACCAATGGAGGGGTTTAAGGTCAAATGTACAAGAAACTCTGGTTTAAACTATGTCTTGGGCTTTTAAAACTATGTTTGTATCAGAAATATTATTGGTTTCTATCCCGAAGATGTCTTTTTTTCTTTCTGATGTTCATCGAAACTAATTCTTGGGACCCAACAATTAAAGCGCACGGTTTCAAGAAGTGGAACCCCAAAACAAAGCCACTCAACGAACCAATAGTTGGTAGTTGGTAGTTGAAGGGCAGGGACAAAATATGGAGAGCTGATGTGATGTCCAATTGTACAGATGTAACCAGCCTGAATCTCGAAATCCAGAACCTCAGGGTGTCCTCACAAAGTCTTATTTGGTTCTTATCCAACCACTCCACTGTACCCCAAAAATACGCATGGTTGAAACACTTATTTTGCAAATAAGGATTGCAATTTTGGTGCATCCCACAGTTTTGGGCAAACCGCTGTTTTCTTAGTATATTGTAAAGCACAGTGATCAAGGCTTCCCTCCAAACTCATCGAAAGATAGTGAGTACCAAGGGCTAGCTGGGTTGCCCTGTATTGTCGCCACATCTAGAGATGTGTTACCTTGAATACAACATGACAATGCTAGATCCGGGAGTGTCTTTCGCAACAGAAAGGTCATGGCTGACAGGAAGGCGCATGGGGTGGAAATTCGTGCCGATAACCAACGAGGAGCATTTTGTTGTCTTAGCTCTCAAAAGCTATGAAACCCACAGGGTTTGCAGCGAGTGTGGGACGTTTTCTGACCATCTGAAGAGATAAGTCTGACGCTCCTGTCTGCATAAAATGTATCAACCTTGTCTCTAGTTGAGGCACAGTAGTTTCGAAAGTCATCAATGTCGAAAAGAGAACGTATAGAATCATATACAGCTGCTTGACAAAGTTTTTAAGGAGAAATCTGGAGTCATTCTGCTCAACATTGAATATATATTGAATATATGAATAAGATTGAATAAGTACTCTGGTTGGTGGTTTCAACCTACCCCTCTGAAAAAATGATGGAGTTAAAGTCAGTTGGGATTATTGTTCCCAATATATGGAAAGTCATAAAATTCATGTTCCAAACCACCAACCAGCTATGGTAACTGCAGTTTCAGTCAAAACCGATCTCATAACTTAGGCCCCATTTGGGCATCAAATCCAGGGATGCTCAACACCATCGCTGTTGCAAGTTGCAAGAATTTCTTTAAACATACCCTCTGGTAAACATACAAAAAGCTATTGAAAATGGCCATTTATAGTGGATTTTCCCATGAAAAATGATGATTTTCCATAGTTATGTTAGTTTACCGGAGGGTATTTGGTGTATCCCCCCCAAAAATGAACAGATTGGAAAAACGCAAAACAATGAACTTCAATGAACGATGATCAGAATCTGACAATCTCTCAGAATTGGGGGCACTCTCTCAGAGTTGAGGAAACAAATGGAAACGGAACCTACAGTCCGCCAGTACAGAACGTCATAAGCCTTGAGTATTCTTGAGTGGCATCATCTCACAAGTCCTGTTGAAAAATGGCCTTAGTCTTGGATTGCTTATGATCGTCTGCAGGGCCTGAAAATCTGCCAGTTTGATCCACACATCCATAGCCGGATATCATATCAACATATATCAGCCACTCCTTCGCTGCAAAAATTGGTTTGTGAAAACATCATGTCTGGTGCTTCAAAGTCCAGATCTGCTGGTTTCGTAACAGTCCCACAGTTTTGCCTCTTTGTAGATATAACAAGGATTCTTAGCCGGATACCATTCCTCCATACGGGGACAAAAACACATAAAACTATGATAAAAACATGTTGTATTTTTTGTTTGGTATAAAATCAAAATCAAAAATCCAAAAGGTCGGTTGCTGAAAAAATCTCCAGAAATTCCATGACATTTCTATCTTTTTCATCCAAACTCTTGGTCGATTGTCTTCTCTATGATGCTTCAAATTCCGAATAATTATGTAGGAAATTATAGATATATTAATCCATATTATGTATACATGTGTATATATATATATATACATATCTGTATATCAGTATATATATATATTTATGTTTAAACATATGTATATGTATATATGTATATATGTATATATGTATATATGTATATATGTATATATGTATATATATATATATACATATTAAATAAAATAATATATATATATATATATGTATATATGAAACTTGCAATTTTGGAGGTATCCCATGGTATCTCCCATTCCCAAGCCGGCTTCAAGATGTGCGCCTTGGCGCGATTATGGCAGGATTCCATCTTCACCGCGAGGTCTGGAAGCACCTTGGAATCCCGCCCGGGGCTGGTGATTTTTTGGGCTCCAAGATTCATCTTGTTAGGGGATGGGTCAAGTTGCCTTGTACCCCCGGTGAACATCAAAATAGCTTGAATTTATGGATGTTCATCCCCTAAAAGTATCTAAAAATGGTATTTAATAGGTATTCATCCATGGCCATATCTGGGAAATATAGAATATTTCCTCAACCAGATTTAAGGCCAATTGGTGATAATTTCCCTTGCTAAGCATCATCTATGGTGAGGTCTAATGGGGTCGCTATACTTTACCTAGTTATATGTTTATGAAATGTAACTTGACCACGGCACAAATAGAGCAAGACAAAAAAACATATAAGTAGCAGTGATGCCGATTTCTATCCAGAAAATGAAGAGAATCAAATGTCTGCACCACGTACGATTTTCTGACCACTTGGGATGTGGGTTTCTTGATCTGAGAAAACACGGAACCGACTTTGGCAACCATGGAGTCTTCTGGATCCAATATGTTTTTAATGTTTTGAACTACAAAAACATAGTGGTTTATCTCTTTATCCAAGTAGATTCGGGGTCAGAAAATCATGAATACACATTGGCCATTCGGGAAAGTCATGATAAACGATCAGAATATGAAATTTTGGGTCACTGTGACCCCTGCCTAGGGATTCAAAGAAAGTCTTTGGTTTCGGCAGAAAATGTTGAAATGCCCAGGCCTCGCTTCTGCAGGAGTGAGTTGGACAACACATGACCCGGGCCAGAAAACGCAGGCCGAAGCTTCATGTGGACTTGCTTGCTAACACGTGGTCGTACGCTAGTTTCATCGCACAAAATCCGTGAGGAATGTGAAAGGACTTTTGAATTACCATGGCTTGTTATTTGTTACATAGCCATGGTATTGATTCATTGATGGCCCATCTATAGATGATTTTCCCATTCATACCTCCATTTGTGGTTGGGATTTTCCATGGCAAACCGTTAAATATCGTTAAATGGCAGTGTGTCAAAACCTTGTACCCCTGGTGAACATCAAAATAGCTGGGATTTATGGATGTTCATTCCCCTAAAAATGGTATCTATAGGTATTGACCCATACCCAAATAACCAGATGGTACTCCCAAGAGGAATTCCAAGACATCAATGCTGCAGAGTCCGACGATTTTCCAACGCCTGAAATCTGAAAGATCTGCAGAAACAAATGAAGCATTAAAAATAGCCCTACCCTCTGGTAATTTAACATAGCTATTGATAATCGCCATTTATAGTAGATTTTCCCATTAAAAATAGTGATTTTCCATAGCTATGTTAAATTACCAGAGGGTATCCCATCTCGTTCTACTAGTTGCTTAACAGGTTTCCCTATTTGGGGATAATTGATTATTATTGATTATTGCTATTATGGGTTGATTATCACTATAAACTATAAACATAGTTGCTGAACATAGGTGTCCCTATTTGGGGTTGTCATAATCCCCAATAAACTAGGTAGTAGAAGTCGCAACAAATTCACCAATCAACCAGGGTGTCTCTACTAGCTCAGATGTCAAACTGTTAAGCTGTATGAAATTTCCAAACTAACTAGTTGGGGTTATCTGCTTGTACCTGCTGTATCCCCATGATTGCTGGTTAAATCAAAACACATCCCATCAAACATCTTTTGTATTTTTGGTTGGTGTCAACTTGGTGACAAAAGGATGTATGTTGTCCGAAGGCAGAAACCAAAATAAGGCGCACTCAAAAACAACATATCATATATATCATGTTCTATTCCATCAGCAAGAGATTTGTCAGTACTAAAGAGTGATCATCCAAGTTTTGACCAGCATATATTCTTCCAAATACCTATATCTATATTCTAATCCAACCCTGCCCACTGCGAAGAGTCATTTCAACTTCTGCCTTTTTTGATCAAAAATTGAGCTTCAAAATCGTGCGGGGTCAAATATATAATAAATCTTCCATAAATATTCGGTCATATTACTGATGATCATATACGTTAATATCCCCTATTGAAACGATACTGCACATATATATATATATGCATACATCATACTATATTAAAGAATATATGTGCATAAATAATGTATGTCCAGAAAGTGTTTATAGCTATCCGTTGTCGTGCAAATATAGTTGCCATATGTCAATATATATATATGCATATATCTTTGCAGAAATATAAATTTCATATACTATTTATGCGTACTCACTATAGTATAGATACATATTACTATATCAAACAATATTTATATCATATATATATATATATTACATTATAATGTATGTTTTCCTCAAAGGGTGGGTACCCCAAATCATCCAAATCTGACCACTTTAGTATTTGACCCCATCGTGACTTGGGGATCACTTATCTTAAGAACCTCTCATATCCAAAAAATCAGAACTGTCCATACATTGGATTAATCACAACAATACCATACTACATTCTAGTATTACTATATATACACCATACTATGTTATCTAATACATATATATATATTACCATATCATTACCATACTAATATAGACGTATTACCATCTACCATATACCATACTTATACATGCATTTATTTACCATATACCATATACCATATGATATACCATATACCATATACATAGTTATGTTAGTTTACCAGAGGGAGTATAGTCCATGATAATCCATCACATCCCCGTAAAAAGTATCATACATATCATTATCATACCATGTACATATTCTACAGAAGTATATGTCTATATTTACCCATTGCCAATCAGCCAGATACCCTGCAAAAAATCACCAATTCTTTGCTGGTGAACGTAGATATTTCCATTAATACCAAAAGACTAAAGGATTATTTGGTATCCATCTAAGATTGACCTAGTATATATATATATATCTATCTCTCTCTATGGGGGTTTCCATCAATGGGGGTACCCCAATAGCTGAAGGATTATCCCATATATGAAATGGAAAATAAAAGTCATGTTTGAAACCACCAGCCAGTATATGTCTATATACCCCCAGGCCCATCCTGCCGTTTTTTTCAAGGCACATCCGCCAGCTGCTGCCTCCGATGAACCCATCCTTCGAACAAGCGCCCGGCATGCTCCACCGAGGCAGCGGCTTCACCTGGTTTTTTCGCTTCACGGCGATCCGTGGTGAGGGATCCGTAGCCATATGTAACCATGGTCATGGACTTACTAACCAGGATTATTATGGATAATAATGTATCATTAATGTTACTAAATTATTGATGTTTAATAATAATCGTATTAATTACCAGGATTATTATGTTTATTTCCATAGTTTACCATAGTTTACCTGCTTAGTACCCATTATTAGCAACATTTTTACTAACTCTGCTAAAATAGTATCCCACCGATGTTTTTTACACACCCAGGGCTGAATCTTCATCCGGGTTGACATTACAGCAATCCGCAAAAAAGTTAGAAACATATTTCCAGGATGGTACAAATTACATTTCTTTTAAATGTATATGTACAATGTATAAAAATTATATATGCATATAATTTTTCATTTATATATTTCCACCTTTTCCCACTTTTCTATCTACGACTTGGGGTTTTCCCTCGTAAAAAAAATGCTTGGCTCCATCCAGAACCAAGTGGCGCAGGGACGGGGCAACGTGGTTCTCTGGACGAATGCGGCGTTGGAGCATCCTTGGGTGATCGGGGATGCTCCCAGAAGTTGCGAAGGTGCAAATTACGAGCTATGCGTACAGGATGGGCCCCCTCAGTGATGTGAACGTTGGTTGAGAAAAACCATGGGAAAACCATGGGAAAATGGTGATTTATATGGAAAATCATCATTTTTAATGGGAAAATATGAACCATAGTTGGTTTATAAACCATTGTAATGCAATTCCCATTGACTAGTCTGATATATCTACCATAAACCATAGAAATCAGCCACTTATAAACCAACTTAGCTATCGACTGGGAGCCCCTTAGATACCCCTGTTTGTAAATCTGTAAGTCAATTGTGGATGGTTGATATGGATCATCATTGACTATTGATGGCTTGATTAACCAATTAACTGCTATGTCCAATCCTATAATCCATGAAATTGATGCTCCATATCAAGACCACATGAAAATCTGCTTATCATAATCGAATATCGATTATTATTGATTGCCAAACCATCAAAAATCAATAACTGGTCATTATCCCTAGAGACGAAAAAAAACGTGTATTAATACCCTCTGGTAAACTAACATAACTATTGAAAATGGCCATTTCTCGTGGATTTACCAACTAAAAATGGTGATTTTCCATAGTTATGTAACAGTTTACCAGAGGGTAAACTTCCATTAATCACCATTAGATCCCAGAAAAAATCACCATGAAACCCCATGAAACCACCATTAAATCACCATTAATCAATTGAGATTGTCATGGATTCCCTGTGTGAACTGAGCCCCATTTGATAACCATTTTTTTTACGTCGGATCATCAGCAACTGCCAAAAAAGTTTTGACCCGTTGACAGATTTGATAGAACTTGGGAGTAAGGATGGCCCCCCCCAGTGATGTAAGTTGGTTTATAAACCATGATAATCCCCATGAACTAGTTCGTTATATCTACCATAAACCATAGTTAAACCACTATAGGTAGATCTTACCTTGAAAGAGTTGGAGAATATTTACCATCTGGTTATGACTAACATAGCCATGGAAAGATCCACCACTTTTAAGTTCGGTAAACCATCTATAAGTGGGTCATCTATACCATGGCTATGTCAAATAATCAAAGGGTATATCTTATGGGTATTGTGTAATTTATATAGGTATTCTGGTTGGTGGTGCAAAAAAACAACTTGAAAAATATGAGTTAATGGGAAGGATTATCCCATATATTCTGGAAAATAAAACATGTTCTAAACCACCAACCAGAGATTGTATAGGTATACCAACTTCTTCTTCCTGTTGGCAATCAACGCATATGAAAAAGGCTCACATGGTTTGAGTCAAACCCCCATGACAGCACCACCTGTGGGTGCTGCTAAAGCTCGAAGGGAAGATGCTGCCCAACAAGAATAGACTTGAAATGACAGCAAGCTGGTTGGTGGTATACCTACCCCTCTGAAGAATATTAGTCAGTTGGGAGAATGAAATTCCAAATATATGGAAAAAATTACTTTACTTCGTGTGATCCCCACCATGACATTTATACATGTTCTTACTGGCACATCTTCTGGCATTCTATCTGACATATCTTCTGACATTCTATTTGGCATTCTATCTGGCATATCTTCTGGCATTCTATCTTCTTCTGGCATTCTATCTGGCAAATCTTCTGGCATTCTATCTGGCATATCTTCTGGCATTCTATCTGACATATCTTCTGGCATTCTATCTGGCATTCTATCTGGCATATCTTCTGGCATATATTCTGACATATCTTCTGGCATTCTATCTGGCATTCTATCTGGCATTCTATCTGGCATATCTTCTGGAATATCTTCTGGCATATCTATCTGGCATATCTTCTGGCATATTTTCTGGCATTCTACCTGGCAAATCTTCTGGCACTCTATCTGACATTTTATCTTCCTACATGAGGTCCGGCAGGGAACACTTGGCGTGGATACTCGCGGTTGAGGTCCGGCAGGGAACACTTGGCATGGATACTCGCGGTTGAGGTCCGGCAGGGAACACTGGGCGTGGATGGTCGTGGTTGAGGTCCGGCAGGGAACACTGGGCGGGGATACCCGCGGTTGAGGTCCGGCAGGGAACACTGGCGGTGATGGTCGTGGTTGAGGTCCGGCAGGGAACACTGGGCGTGGATGGTCGTGGTTGAGGTCCGACAGGGAGCAGGAGGAGAGGAGACGAGGAGAGGAGACGAGGAGAGGAGACGAGGAGGGGAGAGGAGAAGAGAGGAGAGGAGGAGGAGGAGAGGAGGAGGAGAAGGAGGAGGACGAGGAGGAGGAGGACGAGGAGGAAGCAACTGACATAAAATCTAACAACCCTCACCTGGCAGGTGAGGAAAAACACATGTTCCAAACCACCAACCAGGCAAAAGATATTCACATCAAGTCGTACTTCCAATCATTGCGTCCTACTTGTTCATCCGTCACCAATAACTCGGATGATTACCTGGGCTAAGTCCCATGAAATCCCACAAAAAGTATCAAAAAGTCACCATTTTTGATGCTAAATCCATGTAAATAGCCATCTTTCAACAGGTTCACCTTGCACCGAGGTGAAAAACCCCTGGGCAGAGCCAGAGGTGGCGGTTGACATAGTCTTTGGCTTCTTGGATGTAGGGATCATTGCAGTCTCGACACGCTGCAGGGTGTGTAAATAGGCAATCGGCAGAATGGTGTGGATCAATGCATCGATAGCGGCGTTTCCATTCTGAATCGCCTCATTCAGCTCTTTTTTTCCCTGGTCCAATCTAGCAGTGGGCAGTAGTGTCAAATCTTCCAGAACTCCGGTGACTAGCAACACCTAGTACTGGTCAGTCATGTTTGATTTACCCTCTGGTAAACTAACATAGCTATTGAAAATGGCAATTTATAGTGGGTTTTCCCATAAAAAATGGTGATTTTCCATAGTTATGTTAAATTACCAGAGGGTACCAAACATTTGCTGAATAAAGAATAATAAAGACACATTTGCTTACCATGTGTTGAGCATTTGCTTACTGCTTACCATGTAGGAAGTGTAAAGTGTGAACCATGTGCGCCATTGGCCATGCCAACTGCAAGCCATACACTCCGTTTCACTCCCCACTTGCTACTACTTATTGCTAGCACAGCCAGTTCGACTGGTTGGATACGGTGCCAGCATTGCCAGCCTTAGAGAATCTTCGGTTGATTTTTGGCTAGTTTGATATATTCCCATACAGATGAGCCATCAAATATATCAAATATATCCCTATCCCATCTCATTATATTAGTTAGTTGATAGGTTTCCCTGCTACGGCGATAGTAATCCCCCCATAAACACAGGTAGTATGAGCCCCTATAACCAATCTACCAGTGTATCTTGGTAGCTCAGATGGCAAATTATTAAGTTGTATCAAACTTCCCAACTAAGTAGTTGGGCTTATCCGCTTGTATCTGCTATATACCCCCGTGCTTGTTGGTTCAATCATGTCAAGTCCCCGGTTTATTTGGTTAAAGCTCGTTGTTTTCTTCGTTCAATCCGCATTTTAGCCAATGCAACCTCCATTTTGGTTGGCGAACTAACAACGACATTCACCATCCAGGGTCATCTTCAGCAGCCAAGGTTCACCAGCGAAGCATGTTGCTTATCTTCAGGCAGCGCTGTGGTCAAAGGATCCCATTCATTGCACTGGCAACCTGCGCTACCAGCCCGAGACTGAGAACACCGGAATTTACACAACTTAGGGATGGGTCAACACCTATTATTACTATATGACTGGGAGAATTAAGATCCATTCGCCAGCAACTTAGGGTACCTGGGGTAGCCATATCCATCCATATCCCATTTATGATGTTTGGTGGTTCACCTCAATCCCTGGTTTCTCAACTGTCAGTGGAGCCCTACTTATCCCAGGAAAACCAACCTTTTTGTTATTCGGAGCCACGAAGTATAGCCTGGCTAATGGCACCCCATAGATTATTTTTCTGATTTCAACCTCTTGATTACCAGAGGGTAAGTTGGTTTATAAACCCATCCAAATAAAGATGTATCTCTCTCTATATATATATATACATATTCTGCATACCATAAATTCTATTGAAGCAAGTTACAAATCAGCTTATCAAACTGGGGCACCGCCTTGTTACAAACCACAGAGTGAGTTCAAACTTCGACAGCCTGTCGACATCGGGAAATTTTCACAACGGTCCGGATTCGACCCATTTTCGTACAATTTGAGGCCCCCAAGATAGCTAAGTTGGTGCAAATAACTCCAATAACTATGGTGTATGGTGCTTATAAGTATAGTTACTGGGGCTTATAAGCCAACTTATAACTGGGGGGGCCCACATTGTAATAATAACACCCTCTGGTAAACATATAAAAAACTATGGAAAGATCCACCATGCTATCAATGGGTAAATCCACGAACTTTCGACTGGGCCATGGTTTCAATAGCTATTTTGACATAACCAGAGGGTAACCACTACATTGCCAACCAGCCAGAGGGCCCCTGCAAAAAATGGAACAAATTCTTTGCTGGTGAACGTAGATATTCCCATTACCTCTGGTAAATTAACATAGACCCTGAAAATCACCATGTGTTAATCGAAACTAATCTTCCAACCCCTATTTGCCAGGGTCTATGTTAATTTAACAGAGGGTAATACCAAAAGACTAAAGGATTAGTTTGTATCCATCTAAGATTGACCTAGATAACACAACAACACTGAGCGGGTCTTTAAGAATTTTAAGGCAACCCCCTTTTTTTTGTTCGAAGAAGTTACAACAGGAATTCAACCACAAAAATGGATCAACATGGTACTTTTCTTTTGTGAACCAACATTTAGTTGCAGCAATAAGATTCAAACCAACAACAGTGAGGAACAAATCTCATCACAATAGGGATTCAACTAACGACAACGAGGAATTTACTAATCACAATTGGGACTGAAAAAAAACATACTACCGTATCATAGCGGAGCTTGTTGATCAACCAAAGATACGGTTCAAAGCACCGGACATTTGGAATGGTATTTTTATTCTCATCTTGGAAGGAAGACAAGTGTGCATGTCATGTCAATTTTGTGAGGTTTATGTCAAGTTACTATCTTCAAGGCTGGTTGAACCCAAAAGCGGTACACGCAGAGTTTTTGCACCTTGGTTGCTAGCCCCTAGATTTCTCCGGATATGCTACCAGTTACCCTCTGGTAAACTCTTACATAACTATGGATAGCTATGTTTGACACCAGAGGGTAACAAACATTCATGAATGTGGTGATTAGTACTATTATTAACATTCACCATGAATAATTATATGAACCATTACCCACCATTATTAATCATTGGTGAATGGTGGTGAAGAATGACTGTGGTGAATTTCATGGGAATAATCATGGGAATACTCTGGTGATTTCATGGGATATTATGAAAAACTTCTAGACATATCCATAGAAAATGATTGTTAATAGTGGTTAATGGCTAACAATGGCCAATAACGATTTTGCCCATATCTTGGCTGAGTTTTGTTGAAATCCTCGTGAAGACACCCCTTTTGGTCATCCCAGATGCTGGGGATTCCTGAAATTTTCAGCGGGGAGGCGGGGACTGGGTTGTTTCCATATCTTGGCTGATTCACCTATGATTTCTGTTTTGGTTAAACCTATCCCTATGGTAAACTGTTACATAACTATGGAAAATCACAATGTTTAATGGGTTCACCAACTATAAATTGCAATTTTCAATAGCTATGTTTGTTTACCAGAGGGTATCCATATGGATCCATAGGCTATATGTACATATGTATGATTGTATATGTGCATACACAAATACCATTGGCATCCAATTAACATAGACCCTAGCAATATATAGCATATGTATCCACATGTTAATATCCCAAATATTAATGGATATTTTCAAGTTCAAAAGATTCTGGCAACCAGACAACGGCAAAAGCAGGATGTGGCCCCTGCTTGTTGGCAGGACGCGGCTCCAGAAAGATTCCAAACCATCCACTGACGGACAAAACCGACTTCAAGGCAGAGTGTGGAACACGGAAGAAGACCGAGAAAACAGTGGACTGATCAACAGGAACCTGCTTGTTATCAACGTTAGTCCAACGCCAAGACCAAACATCAAGAACAGGATTGGAGACTTCCTCATCACATGCCGCATGAAAAAACTTGCAAGAGCCATCACATCCCGCATCAGGGCAAGGCTGCAAAGAAGTCAATAAGGAACGCAGGAGTGTAACAGGACCACGGAGCAACTGCTGCCAATCCTTAGAAAAAACATCCTTGAAAACAGCACTCGAAGCGCTCGACCTTCGGTCTCTGCAGGCTCCACCTCTTCGTCCGTGGCCGGTGGAATTGCAGGTGGAATTGCAGGTGGAAATGCAGGTGGACGGTCTGCACTTCCAAGTTCCTTCTGCCACTCGGAGCAGATGGACTTGCCGCCGGGAGCCTGGAAGTCGAACGGGGAGTTCATCAAAGCGGTGGGGTTTTAAAAAAAAAGTGGTTTCAACCCCTCTGAAAAATATGATAGTCAGTTGGGATGATGACATTCCCATATATATATATATATGGAAAGTCATAAAATTCCGTGGTTCCAAACCACCAACCAGATAATCATAAGAAACATAAACTAGTCAACCAATCTCCCCATTGGTTCCCTCATTTTTTGGGACATCTAGGCTGCTTAGCAGCTCAGAACGTGGTGAGACGCTTGCGATTTCAGCTCATCCGCGCCCCGATTAAACCATTAATAAAACCTGCAGGATGGGCCTCCCCAGTGATGTTTGTTGGTTTATAAACCGTTATAATCCTCATTAACTAGTTCGTTATATCTGCCATAAACCATAGAAATCAGCCACTCATAAGGCAACTTTGCTATCTTGGGGGCCCATCCTGTATAGTGTTGCCGAGGTCCCACAATCCGCGCCACCCTTAGTTGACCTGGTCCACTGGGCTGAGAGAAGTCTCCCGCTGCCGCTGCCGCTGCTCCCTGAGGCATCTCCTGTGCGAGATATTGAACTTAGCAACTGGGTAGTAACCATGGTTATCTGGTTGGTGGTATACCTACCTCTGAAAAATATGATTCGTCAGTTGGGATTATGACATTCCCAATATATGGAAAAACAAAATTCATGTTCCAAACCACCAACCAGTTATATAATAGACATGGGATCATATCATTATAGTCCATGTATAGGGATCTATAAAACTCTATAACTATGCTTACTAACTATTGTAAAATGGATCTTATAGTTGTAGCCAATTTTATAGGAATATTTAATGGTATTTATATATCTATATAATAATGGGATAATATTGGGATTAATCTTGGGCTTAAGAATAGTCATTAGGATAGAAAGGGGATATAGTATGTAATCCATATAAAATCCACATAATATATATACAGTATATATATATATATATATTCGATTTGTGCGGTTCTTACATCGTGGGGGATCTCCAAGTCACCATGGTTGTTTCATTAATAAGTCATGGTCATCCATGACGACTGGATGGTTTTGGGTACACTGACTTGGGACACCTCCAAATCTGTATTGACATATAGCAACCTCGCGAAGGTCGATAGAAAAAAACAATGACACCTGAAAATCATGGGGGAAGCAACATCTGAACCACGTCCTGGAAATCATGTAAAAAAAACATCGGGAACTCTTTTTGGGACTTCTTTTATGTAAAAAAAACACGTTTTGTTCCAGGAAAGTGATCTAGAAATTATAGTGGATATCATAGAATTGGTAAAGGAAATGGGTCGCTATTGCTGGTGCCCCAGTGCGTTACCTAAGTTGGCAAACAGAACTCCAATAATAACTGTTGGACTTATGGTATAAAATATATATATATAATATATATATAGTTATATATATATACATTATGGTACCACCAACAAAACCTACATTTTTACGACCTTTATTTAATATATATATATGTGTTATATCATGACGAACTGGTTAATGGTGGTAATATAAACCAACAAACATAACTAGCGTGAAGCACCTTGTATGTGTCATCATTTCAATAGGACATTTGATGACGGACGCTGTGATTTGGCTTCTAAGACATCAAAGTTGAAGAGAAACACGAGATTCAATCAATCAGTATCGACAAAGCGATGTATATCGCCATATACTGACGACCAATTTGTCGACTTCCAGGATCGGATGAAATTTCGGGTGTGGTAAATGTGGCAAGTGCAACAAACTACGCAATCAACCATCATATATCATTTAGCATCATCTCAAACAGGAATATTCCATCATTTAGCCTCAAAAAAACGCCGAAAATCAAATGTTTCGCGGATCGCAGAAAATCATGGGATGCCATGGAATTCTCCAACTGCTTGGTGGTATACTACCTACCCCTCTGAAAAATCATGGAGTTAAAGTCAGTTGGGATGATGACATTCCCAACTGAATGGAAAGTCATAAAAATCATGTTCCAAACCACCAACCAGCCAAATTTCATGAAATTTCCATATGGAGGATCATCTTCACTTGTCGATCCAGTGTTTCCGCAAGGTCGCAACTGGAAACTGGTCAGTTAGGTCGATCGAAAAGTTGGGAACCTGAAATATGGAGGAAACATGATTGAAGTAGCATCCTGCAGGATGGTGCCCCCCAGTTAAAAGTGGGTTTATAAACCCCATTAACTATAGTTATATCTGCCATAAACCATAGTTATGGGACTTAAAAACCAACTTAGCTAACTATGGGGCACCACCTTGTGGAAACATTTTTCGGCATCCTTTTTTTGGAGCACTATACAGTATTCTTGTTACTATTGATGTGATTGTTGTCACCATCATGACGAATATGATCACTGAATATCACTGATACTTCTGCATTCTGGGTCAAAAAAAGCTCTATTTTTTTCAAATGGAGGGTAATGTGGTTAAAACAATAATAAACCACCCATTTGGGAATGGTTTATAGCACCTATTGACGGTGATTTGGGGGATTGTTTATTATTGTTTTAACCACGTTATACTGTATTATATATATATATATTTGAATGATATATATATATATATATATGGATAGATAATGGATATATATATATATATATATGGATATGGATTATAAAATATAAACAAAAAAACTGGGGACCCAAGCCCTTTTGCTTTTCAAAAATGCTGACACACCCATCACCAATCGATGTATTCCGGGGACCAAAAAGATGACCGTTAAAGCGGTTGCCCGCTTGCGGAAGAGAAAACTCCAATGTCTGGGATCCAAAAATGGCAGTTGTAAGTAGAAATATCACATGAAACTGGTAATAAATGGTATGTTATCTAACATTTATAACTTGGTATTTTTTATAAAATGTTTATAACATATCTTGGGGGTCCCACAAATTGTAAACATGGTCCAACATATCCAACATATTGTATACATGACACTGATTTCATTCTGTGCCCATTGGACTTCCATTTCGGTAGCATGTGTTTTTGCGAATCTCAAGTTTCTGCAAGGTGAGGCCAATATTTTCCAAGTTGACGCACATAACTTGATTAACCTTTGGGTTTATAGGGTATATAGCTAATAATGGGTACACCAACTGGGGTTATATCTATGGGTTTCTAACCCACTAATTACAACTAATATAGAATGATAGAACTATGACTAGAATTATAACTATTTGTTGGGTATATAACATTTTATAACTATATTTAGCTTCCATGGGTTTATAAAACTCTCAGTTTGGAAAGGATCCAAACAACTCAGATGTTCCCAGATCGACCTACAAAATTCGCTTTAACCAAACATAGACCTCTTCAGATTTGTCCAAAATATGGGTGTGTCTGAAAATAGTGTACCCCTAAACCCAATGGTTAATGATCATTATCCCTATTAAATGGCTATAATTGGGAATATACCCTATTTTCAGACAAACCCATATTCCAAAATCCTCACCAAGTCGTGAAAAACCCCAGGTGTACACCTCCATCTCATGTTCAAACTCATCTTCTTCCCCTTCTTCCACGCCAGTGGGTGGGTCATATCCAGCACCCTCCTGCAGGACATCGACATGGGAGTTCTGACTGGGCTTACTGAACTCGTGAGTGCTTCTTGTGCCAGTTTCCACACCATGTTTTTCAATGTAGCAATCATCATCCATCACTCTTGTGGCTTTGTGATGTGAGTTGTATGCAAGCCATATCATGTTGAATACCCAAAGAATCAGTGCCAACAGCAATACTTTCCGGACATCCGAGCCCAAAAACGGCCAAAAAAAGACGCAGCTTCATGAAGCTGTGGCTGTCCGCGTTGACGATGGTTTTGGCTTCTTCCTGGATCTCCAGTTGATCCGTTTCTTGATCAATCCTGAGTGCTGACGGTCATGGGAGGCCACCCATCCAGGTAATCAACTTTGGCCACCACCTTTGCCAAATCATCTTGGGGAAAGAAGGGCTTGATCCAAACTGGTTGGTGGTTGACCTACCCCTCTGAAAAATATTAGTCAAATGGGAGTATGAAATTCCCAATATATGGAAAGTCATAAAATTCATGTTCCAAACCACCAACCAGCCTTGGGGAAAGAAGGGCTTGATCCAAATCTTGTGTCTCCATTGAAAGACCCGCGATGCTGCAATGCTAAACTGCGGCCCTGTAGTCTTCCTGGGTGACACTGGTGACTTGGTATTTGCAGCCCATGGCTGGTCGTGGTTGGTCTCCTGCTGTTTTAGTGAACAACTAAAAGATTGGGATAGCGGGTAAGACATGGTAAGACCATCTAATGTCATTTTGGTGAAACTGAATTCGTAGCTAATGGTGAAACCCTTATTTTTTAAAGGTTTTTACGGATACCCATGGCAAAGAGGTGATTATGATTAGATGAGTTTCCATTGTCATATTGTCATGAATTATCCCATGAAAAATCACCATTTTTCATAGATACCATTCATCTGGGTAAATTATAATATTTCACTAACCTGAATTAAGGTCATTTGGGGATGATTTCCAATACTAACCATGATTCCAGGGCTCGGTCGTAGTGAGGAGGTCGTTATAATTTACCCAGATTAATGGGAAGAATTGCTCCC